AGCGCTACTTCGGACCCTACGAAGTGCTTCGTCGACTCGGAGATCTGAACTACGAGGTGATGCCCGGGGGAACACAGGCTTTGCCCTCCACGACCGGAAGTCGTCCACGTCGTGCGCCTCAAGCCGCACAACGATCTATAGGACCGTGAACGGCATTTCTTTACTACGCTTGATACGACTATATTTTACAAGCCTCCGTAGTTTGCAATTATTTTTGTTTGTTTTGCTGCTTCATTTTCTGAATAGTTGCATCGAGACGACGCTCTTTTTAAAGGGGGCAGCAATGCCACCCGCGTCGCCGAGCGAGTGCGTGCATGCCCGAGTGGTTACCGTGCTTGGCTGTCGCGAAGGGGGTCGAGGTTCGATTCAACGGAGCGGAATGTCCTTTTATTTATTATTTCAACTTGACGTTCTCGTAAGTTCGATATCATCGGCTTCTAGTCAAGTTACGGATTCTGCGCCGAATGTTCCAGAGAGTTCTCCGCCGAATGTTCCAGAATTCCACGCGTGTACAAAAGGTGCTCCGCACGCCGAGCCGAGTCAGTCTCGCCCCAGCGTTCGATCCGGCTGTTTCGCCACCATCGACGCCTGCGACGCTAGCCTTTTTATATTTCGTTTTGGGCACAAGTTCACCCCATTGAACGTTTAGTTCGGTTCAGTTTCGTCGGCTCATGAATTGCCGTTCGTGACAGCACTTGAGCTATGATCAAGGCTCCGTGATCTTGGAATATATTTCCTCCCAAATTCGTCTCTTTTTTAGTGATGAGCAATACATCGGGTTTATGCGGTTTAACGTTATAAAAGTAACTTATATTTGTAAATTAGTTTGAAAAATCGTAACGCACCATATGTGATAAACACAAAACAACTCTATTAAATTCATACAAAAACTGTTTAGAGAAAGAATGGAGCAATAAGTAAAGCAAAACGTAACTTTATCAACACCCTCCCAGCAGCATGCAATTGATACTTGAACCTATTCGGGGAAATAAGCGCGAAAGAAACAGGGACCAAGAGTAGAATAACAACGACGCAGGGCGCAATCTCAACTGGATTTACTAGAAAAAAAAAAAAACTTATATACCAACGGGAGCACACCATCAGACACAACACGTCACGTTAGTCCCATACTGAAACCTATCGAAATCTATTGAAAAGAATAATGTCATGTACACGCTGAGCGATTTGCCTGCAACAGGAATATGCGCTCCATACTACTATGAACTATCAACTAAAAAAATGCACGTTTTACGAATGGCAAGATCAAGGGCAGCTTTTGACAAGTCGGATCATTTTATGCGGCGCACTCTTCAAACGTTGCCAAGGAAAACTTTGACAGCAGGGTCCTTATACAGTGAACATTCTAGGAGTTCGTGTTTTATAGACCGTGGAGTACACGACAGCCGAAAACACACACCTAAGCCCTTTTTCTGGGGTCATTAGTTCCTACTTTCTTTCTGGTTCGCAATTTCCACATGGTGCTAGAAGTAGTTTCTTAAGAATTGAAAACTGGGCAAAAAATTTCCGAAACCGGAGTTTCCCTCTTCAAGGAAAGCTCCAATTAGGATATTTTTTTTTTAGTTTTCCTTAATCCCGTGAGAACTATTCGAGGAGTTATTTATCGCTGTTTATTGTTATTTATCGAAAACACGGAAAACTATCTATAATCACTGATAGCTTAAGCACCGGCCTACGTATCCCCAGGCGGCAGGTTCGAATTCAGGCCGAGTTTCCAGGACTATGACTCGAGCATATTGCTGAGAAGGCGCCGTGTAACCCAGCTTTATTCGGTGGCACATCAAAATATCCCCAGGGGGTTCAAATGAATCCTCTGCTGGGGTGTGCCAGATTCCCTTCGTTTGCAACGTGTCTATTCTTGATAAGCTCCGTTTTGGATGTGATGATTTCGAAACCGCAAGTCGTGACTCTAGTGTTGACATATAGTTTAGCGAATTTTTTTTTTTTTATGAGGAAGCGACTGCATAAAGCGATTTGTCCCAGTTACGATAAAAAGGGCAAATCATACTCAGCCATGGATTACTTGAGAGGTATTGCAATTAACTCGTAGGCTGCAAAAAGAAAATTAGAAACTGAGGCATAATGCTAATCCTATGGACGTAACCTGGTTTGAAAGCGTAAAGAATAAGTTACTAGAAAAATGACAGCTGCAAATATATACTTATTTTAATGTTACGCTGACTCAGTTTATGTAGTAGAATTCGGCAAAGTTTTGGAGGTCTATCCTTCCCAAAAATGATATTTCACACAGTTTTATTATTCAAAATCAATATGCCTCTCTTCCTGTACACATTCCGAATGACTTTAATGCATACTTTCAATCTGTATTTATTAAATATAATGGTTGTAAACCTTCTTAATCTTTTAATTTATCGTGTATATTATTATAAAACATTCTGATCAATGTTTTTGGTGTGCACAATTTGCTTTTAAACATGAACTGCACGAAGAGTTATGGTTCTGATGGTATCCCGAATTAATTTTTGTATCGTGATTTTCTCTGGTCATCAAGATACTAAACCTTACTTTTCAATAAGTCTCTCTCTTCTGGAGTTGTACCTAAACTTTGGAAATCAGCCAGAGTTGTTTCCATCTTTAAATCCGGTAACAAACAGAGCCTCGTCAATTACAGACCAATCTCATTGACTTCTGCCTCTAGTAAGCTCCTCAATGATATATTCTAGTTATATTTTTTAATATCTCAAAAGAAACTCAATAATCTGCCCTCCAAAGCACGGTTTTTATCGTGAATTTTTCAACCACCACGCTACTCCAGGAATGCACTAATGATATTGCTTCGTCTTTGAATAAAAGAGGCCAGGTTGATGCGATATCCATAGATTATTCGAAGGCATTTGATCAAGTTTCGCGTTCCAAATGACTTTTGAAGTGTAAAGTTATTCTTAAAAATCCAGTTTTACTTGACTGGATCAGTGATTATTTAAACACAGGTCGCAGTTTCTTTCGTTTCGTAATATTGTTTCTTCGTAACTAAGTTACGGTCAGTTCAGAAGTGCCGCAAGGATCGGAGTTAGGACCCATTTTATTTCTTCTCTATATAAATGATATAGTAGAAAGCATACCGGTTAAAATTAGCATCTATGCCGATGTTTGGGTTCTGCCTAATAATGCTAAGTCAGCTAATCACCAACTGTTACATAATGAATCCTTCACGCGCTTTTTATTTCGAGCAAGCAATGGCAAATGAAAATAGACTTTGAAAAGACTGTGTACATAAACTTTACAAATAAGAAATCGCCTTTGATTTTTAATTACGTCATTAATGAAAGATAGCCTGAAGGAATGTTTATGAGTTGAAATATTTGGGTATTATTTCTTCATCTAACCTTAAATGGGAATGACACGTTGACTTTATTTGCTCTCGCGCCCTCAGGAAATTAGGATATGCTAAACGTACGCTGAAATGTTCTTCAAATGAGGTCAAATTAACCGCTTTTAAAACCCTTCTTAGGCCGATTTCGGAGCATGGTTCTGAAGTTTCGGACGTTTATCTAAAAAAGAACATTAATCTTATCGACTCTAAGCAGGCCCAAGATGGCCCGATTTATTTCCAATATATATGATCGACATTTTTCCCCCTGACCCAATATGCTAACACGAGGGCTAGAGTCTCTGCCTTTTAGGCGAACTGCCGAGCGGTTGAAAATGCTAGACAGCATTATTAATGAAGATACTGACACTGAGTGCATGAAATACATTCCTTCTTCAGACATCACGCGCACTAGGCGATCTCATCCTTTAAACATTACAATCTTTCAGTCTCATTAACTGTTTTAAGAAATCCTTCTTTCCGCGCACGGTTGAGTTGTGGAACCGTATTAATAGAAATTGTGAAAATGGGTTTTGTATGATGTGTGACTGGCGAATCATTATTTTGTATATGTTCTTGTTTATTGTCGGCACTACTCATCTGTTTTTCACTTATGTATTACACTTCTGCAATGTCCTCAATTGAGGTTGCAGTATGTTCGAATAAATAAATAAATAATATGAGTCGAAGCGCAGAACAGATCAAGCAACAAATGACATAAAAGGCCCCTCCCATCGTTTCTTAGGATGTCGGCGAGACGGCGCAACAAGAATCCTTGTCCCATCGATGGGAGACGTATAATTTTATTGAGTGTCGCGTTGCGCAGTATTGCTTTAAACACTGAGTATTTTATAAACGCCGTAATACATCCTTCATGGCGAAATTTGTGGCGCGCAAGGGAAACTCAAGCAAGTAGTGCCACACTGTGCATAAACCGTTTTTATTTTATGCAAATATAGACTGTCAGACATTCTAAAACCAGGAAAATTGTTGCGTCCTCATGGGGTTCTTACGTTTTATAATCCAACAAATATCATTAACAATTAAGTAAACATTTCGGCGGAAATCCGCCTGTATAGGAACGCAAGAGGAAATGGGTACTTAGTATACTCTAACAAATGTCTTCATCATGCCCGTCATTTCAAAGCCGGCTCGGCTTAACTGTGTGTAGGCCCAAAGTAGCGTGTACTATACTCCGCGGCAGCTTTTCTTGGCAATGCAGTGGAAGGTACGTCCCGCGTCTCCTCTCCCATTTTGAGTGTACGCAGGCTCTCCTCCTCTCCCCGGAAATGGGGGAGGAGGAGAGCCTGCGCACACTCAAAATGGGAGAGGGGACGCGGGCCTGTACCTTCCACTGCATTGCCAAGAAAAGTTGTCGCGGAGTATAGTATCAAGACCAGCGACGTCGACAGCCGTTACAAACACCTCAATTTCATGGAGCCAGCCATCCAATTTACATCCGAACATGAGTCGAACGGTTGCATTCTATTTTTTGATCTAAGGGTGGGGGGGGGGGGGGGGGGGGGTCCGTTCAGAAAACCATAATTTAGACTATTTGAGCGTTGTAACTAATAATTGTTACACGAAAGAAGTAAATATTTTTAACTCAGATCCTCAGAAGTTTGACAAATATATTAAAAGGAGTACTCACACGGGGATGCTTTCCGGGGTTCGGCGTTCAGTGATCGGTGGAACCAGCAGCACTTCCTCCCCGACTGAAGCTTTCACACGAACGGCGGAGAGCTCAGAGGGATGTAGAATTTTTCAGACGCATGTGGCGGTCGCACTCTTGAAAACAGGGTTCAGTGCGAGCTGACGAGAGAAGAAAAAAGACAGGAGGACACTTAAGAGGGCTGACGTGTAGGAATGCAAAAGAGTTACTACACGCAGCGCATTTCTAGAAGCAGTGATCCCCGCTGTCCCCCGCAGATGTGTGTCAGGCGACGCGACATGGCTGAAAGCATAGCGTAGAACACGTGATAGCGCAGTGCACAGGGAGAGGGAGCAGAAATTTCACGTCCCTCTCCCGCCTCCCCCCTCTCCGGCCACGCATGACACGTGACCCGAGAAAAGGGAGAGAGCGTATGCCGCGCGCGCGCCACCTTCTCCCTTTTATTGGCTCGCGGGCCACAGCGCCAGGAGAGGGCTTCTTTGTGGGGTGGCGGTCATTAGAACTATGATGCTTCGCAGCCAACGGGACTTTAGATGTCGACTCGTTCAGCCAATGGGAGAACGTGAATTTAGGTGCCGTTTCCGCGGTTACAGACGCCGCCGGTTTCGCTCGATGGGACCGTTAAAGGAATACTACAACAAAATTTTGGCGCTCATTTTTTGGTCTATATGTGTTCAAAGGAGCAGTATCACATCGAACTCACGAATCTCTTGCTTAAAAAGTCACGAAAACGAATTTTAAGACGAATTGAACGATTAGCAAAGGGCACATGGTGGATGTCGCTAACGCCTCGTTTGTAACGCCCGTCTAGGAACCTAGACGGGCAAAGGTGATGGTAACTGTGTCACCTCCGGCCACGACGAGAAAAGAGGGGAAGTAGGAACTCCACTCTCCCCGAAACTCTCTGCTGTGTGTCCTAGAAGTCGCTATTGTCCCCCTACAAGATTATAGAAGACTAACCCGTCACTCAAAATTCGTGCCAAAGCAGCCACTTCGGTGGCTGGAACGACTAGGCCATCCTCTCGACGTCAACCTCGCCGTAGCTTTGCTTGTCCCAAGACGAACTACGTCCCGATTGGGGGGGGGGGGGGGGGGGGGGGGGGGGTTATGACGTGCTCTCCGCCGACTGTTTTCCGAGCGCTTGCCAGAGTGGGCCGTTTATAGCGAAAAATACAGCCACCAGGCTCAAAATACAAACGTGCCATTGTCATTTACGGATATTATGGATCATATTCAACCCATTTTTGACCACGACGGTAATATTTCAAATTTCGTTGAAGTATCCCCCCTGGTTCTCTCGTGAATTAAAACGCGTAATGCGCAAAAAGTTACATTTGCACCGTCTTTACCGCACTACTAACAGCAACGAAGTTTATGACAGGTTTAAAATATGCCGAGCTACGGTTAAAGAACTGTATAAGCGCGATAAAGAGGCTTATTGTAGACAAGTCGAAGGAAGTGTTTCCAAGCGTCCCCAGGATTTTTGACGATTGGTTAAAAAGCATACACGAGATAGGTCGAGTCCTGCTTCATTTATGATTGACGGAGCATATTCTTCTGATCATAATAAGATATGCAATCAATTCGCAAAGATTTTCCTGTCCACCTATTCATCAGCCAGTGTCGAAAACACAGAGATTTTACTAACTACCCATAACCATTTTCCTCCTCCGACAATTGACCTTGTTTGGGCAATTCATCAGCTCCCATCTAAAAAATCTTGTGGCCTTGATGGCATACCGAATTTTATAGTTAAGGGCTGTGTCGACATACTGGCTCCCATTCTACACCGCATATTTTCTATGTCGCTGAAGCAGTCTATCTTTCCGACCGCCTGGAAAAAGGGCTTGGTAATCCCTCTTCCTAAATCAGGCACCTCAACGAATATCACAAACTATAGACCGATATCATTGCTTTCCGCATTTTCGAAGGTATTCGAAAAAATCAATCATAAGCATCTAACACCCTGTTTTAAGCACTTATTACCCGAAGTTCAACATGGTTGTTTGAGCGGCAGGTCTGTTGAAACAAATCTTGCGTGTTTTTTAAATGATGTTGCCCCCAGAGTCTGTTCTCGAAAGCAAGTTGACGCAGTGTATTTTGATTGTAGCAAGGCATTTGATTGTGTAAACCACAAGTTACTGTTACACAAACTTTCTTTTTCTGGTCTCAGCGACGAGTACTGTTCTTGGCTTGAAAGTTATCTTTCTGCAAGAAAAGACTGTATCGGCTACGCAAATGTTAGGTCATGTTTTTTTCCTGTGCCATCTGGTGTACCCCAGGGTTCCAATATGGGACCTCTTATTTTTAATATATTTGTTAAAGATGTCAAAGACATCATTCGCCATTCGAGCCTCTTGCAGTTCGCTGATGACCTCAAGATCTATAAAAATATTTCGTCATGAAATTATTGTGCTCTACTGCAGGAAGATATCAACGCCATCTGTCTATGGTGTAAAGATAACGGGTTTGATCTTAACATTGGAAAAACAAATGTAATATCTTTCACGTGTAAGACTAATCCAACTCACTTTCTGTACTACTTAGAAAATTCGTCGATTACTCGAGCTACGATTGTGAAAGATCTGGGAGTGATGCTAGACTCCAAACTCAACTTTAACTCGCACGCGACATACGCTGTGAGCTCTTGTTTTCGTCTTCTTGGTGCAATTTCAATATTTAGTAAGTGTTTTTCAAGTGTTTACATTTTCTACGTACTTTATCGAAATATAGTTCTTCCAAAACATGACTTCTGCACTGTGATTTAGAACAGCCTTAGTGCTACAGCTTCCAATAATGTGGAACGCGTACAGAAAAGATTTGCCAGAACTTATCATTTTAGATCCCCATCACACGATATATATGATTACAACGAAGTGCTTAGACAATTGCAAATCACTAACCTTGCATCAAGACGATGCTCGCGCGACCTTTTATTCTTGTTTAAATGCATACATTCTAATCACGATATTAGCTCTCTGGTCACATCTATTAACTATCATATACCCGGTAGAAATGTTCGTTCTAGTCGCACTTTCCATGTCAATCACAGCGATTTCACGTCACCCTCGGGCCGACTGCAAAACTACTTCAATCATCTGGAATCAGATGGCATTGACATTTTTAACCCTAACCAACCTCATTTTAGGAAGTGCTTGCTTCATGTATTGAAATAATGTTCATGCTTTGCAACTATTGAATTCCTGTGTTTTTTTCCTTTAGAGGTGTGTGAGGCGACCATACTTTTCTTGTTTGCGTTTATATGCCATCTGAAATGTTACTAACAAGTGCACCAATGTATAGGCTTTGGCTGTTTTTGGGCACTCAAAATAAACAAACAAACAAAATAAACAAACAAACGAACAAACAAACAAACCCGTCACTCAAAATTCGTGCCAAAGCAGCCACTTCGGTGGCTGGAACGACTAGGCCATCCTCTCGACGTCAACCTCGCCGTAGCTTTGCTTGTCCCGAGACGAACTACGTCACGATTTGGGGGGATATGACGTGCTCTCCGCCGACTGTTTTCCGAGCGCTTGCCAGAGTGGGCCGTTTATAGCGAAAAATACAGCCACCAGGCTCAAAATACAAACGTGCCATTGTCATTTACGGATATTGTGGATCATATTCAACCTACTTTTGAACACGACGGGTAGATTTCAAATTTCGTTGAAGTATCCCTTTAATGCTTTCGCATTAAAATGGAGGCGTCCATGAAACTGCGATGTGCTATCATGGTAGCAGCGTTGTTAGATGCAGAAGACGACGAACTGCTTCCTGCTAAAAGAAAGATGCTTCTTGAATGGGTGGATGCAACACAAAGGACGTGGAACCGAAATCCAGTTTTACGAGGAGGGCCTTGAGGATGGCATTGATGAATGTCAAAGCCTTATATGGGTGCCTCGGACGGCATGCGCAAAAGCGCAAACAACAAGTTAGGTGATCCCGGATTCCGATGCCATCGCCGGAATCTTGCTGATCAAGATGACTAAATTGGACTGACACGCGAGCGAAATACCGCTATTTGCAAAGAGCTCCCACGCCAAGGCGGAGAGCGTTTGCACAGCCCGTGCGGAAACTCCTTTATCCCCCTTGAATGACTGCGTTAGCGGGGCTCCGCGCAAAAGCGTCACGTTGTTAGCGCGTGATATCTGTCCCGGGGAGAAAAATGAAGGATTTCTTCTTCGTGTAAACTATTCAAACCGGTAGCCAGTTTTTTTTTGTTTATGCAGTTTTTTTGTGTGTGCATATCAAGTGTATTTATTTTACGGTACTATAAAGGGTACCGAAATCAACACTTCACTATTTATGCATTGAAGCCCCTACTTTGTAAGTGCCTCCTTTTCACTGCAGGCAAGGTATGATATATAACTCTTTTCATAAACCCCCACCGTGCACTTATGGCTATGATTCTTACTCGGTGAGCAATAGTGTATGAGTGCATATATTGTCAATCTTTTTCGTCGTGTTTTTGTTTTGGGACTTTCAGTTTATGCGTAATTTGCAGTGTGTGTAAGTTTCGGTGTGCCAGCCCCAATACCGTACGGTTGTTAGTGTCCACATAATATGATTGCTTCTTGATTATTATTATTTTATTATTATTATTATTATTTAAAGGGGCGATTATTAACTGGCCACGGCTTTCATATATAGCAGCCGGCCTCTGCTAAGAACGTAGAAAACCGCTCCGGGATTGACTCATTTTTTTGCATTCAATTCTATTTGATCATGGTAATCGTTTATTCCTTAGGCTACTCGTAAGCACTCTAAGTAAAATATGCCAGTCAAGGTTGCTCGTTAGTTGCTTCATTGTTCAGGAGCAGCTGATGGAGCGTTTCTTTTGCTCCGAAGACTGAAACTTGTTTGTTACGTCCCTCTGTTCCGAAGAAAACCGCGGTGCTGTTCGTTCGCAGAATACTTAAGCAATATCGTTGCCCCGAGTCGAGTCAACACACGTACATAACGCAGGCTCCACTCTGAGCGGCGTTTCTGAAGATGTCACCCTGAATTATTATACTCGCTGGACTATGACGCAACTCGTCTGATGTCGGTTTCCATCGGGTTTGCAATCGAAGAGGCCGAGGAATAGCCCGTGGTGAACCCTAGCGCCAATAACCCCCTTCCGAAACACGCCGAGACG